TGCAAGGCAGGTGCTGGGCTGGAGAGAGAAAAAAACACCGCCTCATTTCTATGTGTGCGTAGGCATGCATATGTGTATGTTGCACACAAATTTCACAGGAATATACAGACATGTGGGAGTTCTTAGAAGCAGGTGAATAAGTGCCATGAGAGGGGCAGCCAGGGTACACGGGGTTCAGGAGAGATAATCACCAGCGCGCAGGCAGTCAGGGAAGGTCTCAGGGAAGCAGGCCCTGAAGGGCGAGGAAGGCACGGACAGACTGAGAGCCGGTGGGAAGAGACTCCAGACCTGGGCTTGAGCTTTACTTAGCAAGGGTTCTGAGGGGGAAATAGACGCCATGCGTTTAGAAGATAATACGTGAACTTGTCCAGTGAGGGCAGGCCAACCGGGAAACAAAAAAGGAGATAATGTTGAGTTGGTTTCATGAGATGACTCCAGCAGAGTGCCCTGGGAACAGATGAAAGCCTAATGGCTTTGAGGGAAATACATATGACAAACAAACCTAAGACAGGACACCCATTCTCACTGGTAACTGGGAAATAGAAATGTAAGACAGCCTGGGCTGCCTGTTCTGATAGGGCAGGACATTGTCTAAATGGCTGTACTTTTGTTCCATTCACAGTTTTAAGGAAGCCTGGTGGAGTGGGCAGAGGAATACTCAGATTTATGGAAAAAGAAATAATGACATCAGAAAAGATGCAGCAGGCACAGCCCAAGAGGGCGGAGGAGGTGCAGGATGGGCACTTCTGGGAAGGGGACTGACTCCAGGAGGGTCCAAGGGAGAAAAGCAAAGAACAAGCATCACTGGGTTCGGCATTCCAAGGGAAGCAATCTGGCATTTAGTCACTACCTCTCTAATCAGTTTTATAGGCCGCACACTGAAGTGGGTCCTTGGCATGCTGTTAGCTCTTTTGCTCTTGGCAACCAGGCGTTATTATGCCTACTTAAAAGGTGAAGAAACTGAGAAACAGAGAAAGTATTTGGGAGCTCATCTGAGGCCCACAGGAAACAGCCTCAGGGCAGCTGATATCATCTGCAAGAGAAAAAGGAACACGGGGCCTCCCACATCCACCCGGTAGCCCTTGAGTCCAGAAAAAGACGCTGCCTCTCTTGTGATTGCCCCACACACCCCTGGGAATCTAGGCAACAAGTACCATGTGCCACAGCCATGCACTGTGAGTAAATCCTCTCTCCGGTGATTTGGGAACAGCGGACAGAAGAATGGCTTAATGGCAGTGTGTCGCTGGCTGCTCTGTGTTGTCTCAGGTCTTCAAAATACACTAAGCATCTTGAACGAGCGTGGGAAAGAATAAGGCCCAGCCCTGCCCTTGGCCAGTTGCAGCTCTAATAGGCCCTGGAAATCCTCCGAGAAGTTCCACTTCATCAGCAGCCACTTGGGCCATTTAACACCTTCCAGCTTCCACATCTCAGCCAGCTTCAGTCCCCCGCCTTTGCATACTGCAGACCCCCTCCAAAAAACCCAGTGTCATCTCACCAGGGAGGGTGACCCAGAGCTCATGGCATCTTGCAATGGTGTGGGCTATGCTATGTCAGGGAGGGGCAGCCACACTGAAGGCACATCAGAGGAGGTGGCAGCCCCAGGGCCTGCTCTCGCTGGTGCCTGCCTCTGGCTCCCAGTGGAAGACCAGGAACCCCGCCAAAAAGGTGACGAAATCACCCAGAACAGCCTCACATTTACCACCAGTGCCTTCAAGTGCTGCCACCACCCAAGGACTTCAGTCCTGGGGAAACAGCCAGCCCCACCCTCCTCCTCTCTACCCCAGTTCTTCTGCAGTGAGTCACCGATGCATCACAGGCAGACACTCAGGTTGCACCCCTGGTCCACCCAGTACAAGAAGCATCATGGCACATAACCTAGGCTGGCAGTTTCTACCCTGTGCTCCAGGAGCTCTCAGGCTAGAGGGGCTCAGGGAAGTAGGGTCAAGGGAGACTGAGGGGACTTTGGCCCCACCACCACCACTTTTGCCTCAATTATATATAAGAGTTTGGGATAACATTTTCATCCAAAGGAAAAAAGAGAGGGTTGTATTGCTTTAGAAAGCTTGAAAAGCACTGCTCAAGACTAATAGGCAAATTGGTACACAACTTGGTTACCAACTCCCACTTGACAGAGAACACATGTGCCTGTTTCTTTGGAAACATGCGATTCTTCTGCAGCGGTGACGTGCCCTCCAGGGCTTCACACCATCTTCTGCCCCACTGTCCGTGCCAGGGTCCTTCACAAGCACCTCCCCAGGCACGCAGCAAACGTCGGCTCCCACACAGCTAATCCCCCGCTGCTTCCACCATGTGTGCAGGGACAGCCACCAAGGCCCTTGTCCTGTCACTCACTCCAGTTTGGGCCACTTCTTCAAAAAGTGCTTCTTCTGAGACCCGAGGTGCTAAGCGGCCCTAATGCCCCTGGACACAACCCAGGCCCACTTCTCTGACAAATCTATCAGCTCTAAACGGATAGACAGGAAGGGGGTCAGTGAGGACAGAAGGGGACAAACACACCCCCAGCTACACAGGGCCTCACTCAATCCTGGTCACCAACGAGGGTCTACTGGCTGAAGCCTGGCCACTCCCCCTTTCTTTTGGTTACAAGGTTTTAGCCCCAAACCATTTTCTTTGGAGAATGTTCCAAGCTACAGAGAAGCTGAAAAGCTAGTTCAACTATATAACCAAAGTACCATCATTACAGGTAAGAAAAGTAATAGTTATTCAGTAACATCTAATATATGGTTTATATTCAAAATTGTGCAATTATCCAAATGAGTCTTTTATAGATTTTTCTGATCCAGGATCTAATCAAGATGCACCTGTTGTATTTGATGTTAAGTCTCTTATCTCCAACAGACTCTCATCTTTGAAAATAAAATAACATGGAATTTAGAATTGATTAAGAGATTCTGGCCAACTGTTGTGTAGCCATTCTCACATTTTGGGTTTTTCTGTTTCCTTTTTACTAGATTCGGTTAGACAAGTTTGATATGAATACTACCTCTGTCATACTGGGCACTTCTTAATCAGATCACCTCGGAAGTCATATAACATCAGGCCATCCCACTACTCGTTGCTAAACTGTATCACTTGGTTGAACTATGAACTGTCAGATTATACCACTCTACCTTTAAAATCAGTAATCAATCTGTGAGATTACGTTGAGACCATGTGAAGATACTTTTCACAAGAATCCCTCACCAATTAGTTTTTGCATCCACCAATGACCCAACCTAAGGGTTACAAAATAGAGATTTTCTAAAGGTACCAGCCGATGTTCTATGAAGAAGAACCCCCTCTCTCTCCTCTGTCTCTCCCTCTCTCTCATTATGACTATAGAGTCATGAGGGTTGTTTTCATTATTCAATGTGGCATAACCCATTACTGTCATTATTCTCCTGGATGCTCAAATTGCTCCGTTTTGGTAGTACGAACTCTTTCACACCAGCTTCTGGGTCTTTTTGATATAACCCCATTCACCTCGAGTGCCACCTTGCTTTCTAGCACATGTCCCAGGCTCACCCTGCACTCTCCCTGCTCCAGCCTGGAACCAGCTATGTTACTGGATCCTTTTAGCGGGACTCATCCTCTCTTTTTCAGCAGATATGCATCTTTACATTCTCTCACCTCGCTCTAGTCATATCCTCATTTTCCTTCCTCCCTACCTCCTTTCCCAGTCATTCACCATTTGCATGAGCACAGACAGCTCTTTGTCCCTGGTAGCAAGTGGGGAAAAGGGTGGGAGAGAAGGGAAGGAGAGACCAAGAACTACAGTGAATTTGGGGACATTATCCACCATTTACTAGTCAAAGAAAAGCCTCCTTTTTCTTAGGTGACCACATGATTGGTTCTTTCCAAAGCACGGCTTGTATTTTTGAGAAGGTATTGTCTTATGATTCCTTATATAAAATTAGTATCATGCCATATTTTATTATTTTATTTTATACTTATATAAAATACATGCAGAAGAAAAACTACTACCTACATCCTGGTATTCCTGTCCCCTTCTCTTGCTTTATTTGTCTCCATTGGCACTTACTACCTTCTAAACTCTATAAATTGTGCTTATTTTTACATTTTTGTTGTCCTCCCCAGAGGACTTATATTAAGTTTTGTGAATGACAGGCATTTCTTGATTGTTTGTTTGTTTGTTTGCTGCTTTCTTCATTACCATAGTCACAGTGTCTAGAACAGTGCCTGGAATAAAGTAGGTACCCCATAACCATTTGTAAATGAGGAAAGTGACCTGCCTAGGACCACAGGCCTAGAGGTGAGCTGGATCTGCTGTGTACGCTTTAGGCCTCTGCTTCCACGTCACCCCCAAGCAGTCTGCCATTTCTTCCCCATGTTCCCAGAGCCCTTCTTACACTTCCGGATCCTAACACTTGAAGCATCGCATCATTATTGTTTACTTTCACGTCTGTCTCACTTGAAACACTGCAAGTTCCTCTAAGGTAAGGACAAGGTCAGACCTATCTTCGCGGCCCAGCACTGAGCACAGCGGCTGGCACAAAAATATCTGCTACCTCCTACCTGCAGCCCAGTGCCCTTGCCCTTGCCACACATGCCAGAGCCTGCCGGGCGTTCCCTCTGCAGGCAGCCTCTCCACAGCGGGGACTGGGTCCCCGCGCCAACTGCTGAGAAAGGCTCAGGCCCCACCGGCAGCTCACAATGGGTCCTTTGACTCCACCGGACTGGGCTCTTTCAGGAAAAACACGTTCGCTGCCACAGCACCTGTCACTAAAGCCAACACAGAGCCAGTGTTCATCATGCAACAAGAGCAGAGGCACGGGCCGGCCGAGACAGCCGGTCAGAGCAGACTGACTTCTGGGAAGGTGGGAGACGGGGTGGCAAGGTCGAGGGGGCCTTCCATCAGCACAGTCACTGACATTCAGGCTCTGTGAACAGACTGGATAGAGGACAGGAGGGGGAAGGGGTTAGCATAAAAGAGTCCAAAGAGCGGAACTTGTCAGAGCTTTGCCTCAGAAATGTCTTACTTGCTCTTTTCTTTCGATCTTCTTTTCACTTTCCTCAGAAACTGGACTCTCAGGAGGGACCGTCAGCCGTAGTCGGCAGACATTTGCCTAGAAGAGACAGAGGAGAGGCCAGTTATGAACCTACCTTTGGGGCAGAAAGAGCTGGGTGACCTTGTGCTTCTCAGAGCCTGCTTCCCTACTTAGCAATGGGGACAGTCACACAGGGGACTCCAGGGTAAGCCCAGCCTTAGCCTGGCCCATCACCAACATTCGACATACTGCTGCTGAAAACAAGGGGAGTACTGAGTGATTTCATATTGTTACAACATTTTTTTAATGGCTCTGGTTCCAGAACAGTATATATAGAATGATTTTATTTCACATGCATAGTCCAAACTACAGCTAAAAGGATAAGAGGCCAAAATATACACAGTGGTGACTGGGATGAGAGGGTGCTGTCTACTTGACTATATATTGAATTTTTACAATAAACATGTACATGTTCAGTCACAGTTTTTTTAAGCCTATACAACCATGTTCATAGCAGCATTATTCACAATAGCCAAAATGTGGAGGCAATGAAAATGTCCGTCGATGGATGAGGGATAAAGAAAATGTAGCATGTATTGGGTTGGCTCAAAAGTTTGGTTTTTTTCCATAGATGGATGTATAGTGCTTTGTTATCTTTAACTTCATTTAAACAATTTTGTTAGATTGTATTGTGACACCTGTCCTATCAGCATACATTTAAAAAAAATCAAAATTGGTGAATTTTTGTGTGGCCATTTTAATATTGAAGATGGAAGAAAATATGCAACATTTTTGGCATGTTATGCTTTACTATTTAAAAAAAGGTAAAAATGCAACCAAAATGCAAAAAAAAAAAAAAAAAAAAGACTTGTACAGTGCATGGAAAAGATGCTGTGACTGACTGAATGTGTCAGAAGTGGTGTGTGAAGTTTTGTGCTGGAGATTTCTCACTGGACGATGCTTCATGGGCGGTTAGACCAGTTGAAGTTGATAGTGATTAAATTGAGACATTAACTGAGAACAATCAACATTATACCATGCAGGAGATAGCCAACATACTCAAAATATCCAAATCAATAAAATTATTGGTGAAAACAAAAAATGTGCCTTTTATTTTATGGAACAAACCATGTGGACTGTTTGCCCAAACCAATACATAGAATGGAATATTATACAACCTTAAAAAGGAAGAAAATTCTGACACATGCTACAATGTGGATGAACCTTGAGGATATTACACTCGGTGGAATAAGCCAATAATACGAAGTCACAGAGACAGAGAATAGAACAATGATTGCCAGGGGCTGAAGGGAAAGGATCGAGCAGTTATTACATAATTGCAACAATGAGAATCTACTTAATACCACATGATGTCTATTTCTCCCTAATGTCACAGCCTGGTCCTGCTGTGACATTTCCCAGGGAAAAGCGATCCTGCTATTAAAAACAAAAAACAAAAAAAGACAAAGAAGGCTCCATCAGCACCCAGAGTACCCAACCTGCAGCCACGTGGGCTCAACTTACAGGTGTGCTGCTTGCCCCATTATGGACTGATTTGTGTCTCCCTAAAATTCATATGGGAGAGTCCTAACCCCAAGTACTTCAGAATGTGACTTTATTTGGAAACAGGGTCTTCACAGATGTATTAAGTTAAAATGAGGTCATTAGGATGGGCCCTAATCTAAAATGACTGATGTCCTTATAAAAAGGGGAAATTTGGAGACAGACATGCATACTGAGAGAATGCCATGTAAACATGCCGAGGAGTAAAGCCTGGAACAGAACCTTCTCTCACACCCCTGAGAAGGAACTCACCCTACCAACACTGATTTTGGACTTCAACCTCCAGAACTGCAAGACAATACTGTCTGTTGTTTCAGTCACCTGGTTTGTGGTGTGTTTTACAGCAGCCCCAGCAAACTAACATACCCCCAACCTGGCTTGCAGGGTCACAGGTCTGCACTGATCCACAGGGTGGTCTCTGAGCAAAATTGCCCTGCAGCCAAGAAGCCTAGGGTAGGATGGGATTGTAAAAGACCCTTTAAGTCCAACCTGCCAGCCTATGGGGTAATGAGTGAAGAAAACAACATGAAGTCAATAGAGCTCAGCTGACTTAAAACGGAGTCTGTATGGTCAAGCTGACAAAACTGGTTCAGACCAAAGGCGCAAGAGCATGAGGAATAGATTTGATTTTATTTTAACTAGCCTGAGAACTCAAGCTTTTGAACTTTCCAGTTGTACATCAATGCCTGGAGATAGATATAGATGTAGATACAGATATAGATACAGATATATATCCCACAGACAACCCTGTGATTACTCGCCTGAAGGACTTGAGAATGTTCACGTGTCCAGACCACATGACACCCATTATCCACACTACCATACATCTGGAAGATTATCATCTCAGACCAATCCAGAGGCCAAGAATGCAAGGCTGATTCTTCTCAAGAATGTACTTTTTTACCATAAAATCTCTTAACTTTCTTTCTTCTTCAGAACACTCTGGGGCATTGCCTAATTGTTGTTTCTAGTTTGCAAATCCTATGACCCTTGATTAAAACTTTGCCATTTTTAATTGTAGCAAAGCTTCATGCTTCATTTACACTTGGTCAGCAGTATGAAGGAACCCCACACCTAACAGTACAACTGACAGATGGGTGCCCAGTCTGGGAGTAACATTTCCCATGCACAGGCATTCAGGTCACATGTTAGTACTTCCACATACACCATCACCTCCCTCCAAAGCACCCCATTTTGTTACACAGCACCTCGAACTTTCTGATGATGAGCTTACATGTTCCCTCAGAACTCTTACCTAATAGACCTAGCATTGCCCTTGGGGACTGCAGCAGAATATCCTTTCTCTAGACAGCCCTCTGTAAGTGCCCTTTATTAGTATGAGAATATAGGAAGGAGAACAATTATTTTAACTGGAGGTGGGAGAATATGTGAAGGCTCCTACAGATGACATCTGAGCTGGGTATAGAAGTACAGAAGAACTTTGCAAGTCAGTGAAGTTTGGAGAATTCATTGTCAAAATAACAGACAACTACCAGGCAAGGTGTTTGTTCCAGGCTGGCCAAAGGCACCGAAGCTGGCCTGATCCAAGAAAAGTCCATGGGCCACCATCCTAAACTAGAATGAGAGAGAAAATGGACAGATAGGCAGGGGCCAACCCCTAACAATCTACAAATGCCAGCTGCAGAGGCAAGGCCTCTAGTGGAAGACCGAGGAGCCATCTTTGGAGAAAGGGTCTAACACTCAAATCTGAGTACAATGATTTGATAGCAATTGCTAAATACTTTCTGTTATGTTCCTCACACTACAACATGGAGAGAATGGAAAAAATAGAGGGAGAGATGGAGCAAGCTTTGCACCTTAATTGCATTGGTAGCCCTTACAGTGCTTAACATAGCAGCAACACAAAATAGGCACTTGCTCAGTAAATATCAGTATGGGTTTCTTTTGGGGTTGAATTAAAACACAGTAAGAAAGATATACCTGAAACTCCCTAGTGAGCCTTCCACATTCTTCAAACTAATCCCCATGGGAGGGAGAGCAAGGGAGGGGCAGAAAGCATTCAAGCCTCCGCCACAAGAAAATACACAAGCAAGCCCTTGTCTGCAACTCAGGGCGCCTGGGAGCTAAGCAGGCCCTCTGGGGCTTGTTTCTGACCCGCTTTGTGATGGCAGAGGGTTGGTCTCCATTCTAGGCATCCACATACCATCATGCACTCAGCTTCAGGCACCTGGGCTCACCTGAGGAAAACTATCCATCTTAAATAAAAAGGGGTGGAAGAGATGACCCTGAGAGGTGACAAGAGTTAAATCTGTTTACGAAGATGGATTTCCCTAAGGAAATTAGCCACATGCACGTCCATTTCTCTAGCCCTGGTCAGAGCTGTGACTGTGGGGCCCTTGCCCAGCTCCACCAACAAGAGAAGCCGGGGACCCTGTGGTTGTGGCCGGGAGGATGGATTCCACACTCCCTCAGCTCAGCACAAGTAGAAAATCTCTGGAAATCTCGGGCCAGGCTGTGTGGAACAGGCCATGCCTGTTCGGGAGTAGGCTTCTTATCTCTCCTGTGGCCCTGAACTTGAAGACCTGATTATCATCAGGGCGGGGCAAACTTTTTTGGTTAGGGCCAGAGAGTAAACATTTAGGTTTCCCAGGCCAGTGTGAAAACCAGGCTCAGCTCAAAGTATACAAAACAGTCCAAGAGCTGGATATGGCCCAGGGACAGTAGTTTGCCGGCCCCTGATCTACATACTTGGACACTTTCTCCAGCCTCCTTCCCGTGTCAGAGCTGTCTCCAGCCAAAACTCATAAATAGGAGGACGGTGACCTGTACACTTCAGAACCAACAGAGTGTGCCCCGATGCCAAGCTCAGGGAGATCCCACAGGTAAATCAATGTTCACAGATACCAGTGTGACCTGGAGTCTTATGAACCCTCCAACCTACCCTCCCAACAGCCATGCCCTTCCACATGGCCAAAGGAACCTTCCAGAACACTGTCCCAGAAGTGCCTGCATTTCCACAAGACCTGTATGGAGAAAGCAAAGCTGAGAGGAGGAGTTCCGGTCCTTGGCTGCACGATGAAGTCACCTGGGGAGCTTCCTAAAAAAATATGGATGTTATTCTCTACTTTCTAAAGTTCTTGTTTAAAAGGTCTGGGGTGGGGCCTAGGCATAAATATTTTCAGCTTCTCAGGATGCTATGTGTAGCCAGGGTTGAGAACCACTGACTTAACCAAAGGAATGAAACTCCAGCCATGCAACAGGATGGGGTAACTGGAATAACTGGAGGCCTTCCCAGAACTGTCAGACTCCTCACCTGCGCCAGCACTCCCGTCCATCTGTCACCTGCTTCCTGCCCAGGGGGGCTAAAGGTGACAGGATGGCCTTAACCCCAAGCTTCTCTTCCTGTTTTCCCCTTTGCCAATTCAACTTTAAGTGCAGCTCCTTTAGGATCCTGGTGACACTCCTCTTTTTAAGCACCCATTACAGCAGGCCTGGGGAGGGAGGATCCCTAAAGTAGTTAATCGTAGTGATGCAGGCAATGACGGGGTGCACAGGCCTCCGGGGGAACACGGCAGAGGAGGTTTCAGGGCCGGCTTCCTGGAGATGACCCTTCATCAGAGGAGAGGCACAAAAAAGGCAAAAAGACAAGCAACAGCATGGACAGCTTGGGGAATGGCAAGCAGTTCAGAATATAGGGAAAGAGTGTGCGTGGGGAGGGGGAACAGGGAAGGCAAAGATAGATCCGAGGGGCCTGGATGCTAAACTAAGGGGTTTGTACTTCCTCCTGGCAGTAAGGAGGGGCTCTTGATGCAGGAGTGAGCTGACTGAATTTTGCATTTCACTCTGGCCTTAAAAAACAAGTAAGAGACAATGTGATTGACACTTAGGAAGTATCCCTCATCTGAAAAGGGAAAAGCAGTAAATACCACTATGTTAGTCTTCAGTGTCTTGGGGAATTCTAGAATTGTTTCAGCCCAAGAGGGAGCGTCACAAGGAGGCTCTAAGATCACACACATGGAATCACCGAAAATATTTTAGATCAAAACATTTCAACGTGGTCTCTAATTAGTTAGCATTGGATCTGCGGCTCTCTGAACTCAACTAGACAATTTTTGAGGCTGACTGACTTGAAAGGGTTTCCCAAGTGACCAGAAGCCTCCAGGTCTCAAGTTTCCTTAAGAGTCCCAAGGACCCATGGCTGTTCATCCTACACCTGACACAGCAAGATGGGTGAACCAAAGCAGAGGGGCTGGGACATTTTTTTTTTTCCTGAGATATGACTGCCAATTTTTAGTGACAGAGGTTTTCTGGCTAAGCCCTGAGGATGCCAGAGTTCCAAACCCATACAACTTGTCCAGCCAGAGTCTGGCTCCAGAGGACCTTGGTGAGGGGCCAACCTGTTTTCTGGGTGCAGCGGCCCCCTGCCGTGCCCTTCCTGGTGGATGCTGCAGACAGCTTCCCTCTCCAGATGCTGAGGTCCCACAACACCCTGTTTCCCTTCCTCAGAGCCTGTAGGACAATACAGAAGTTATGCACACAGTGTTTCTGTGAAAAGGAAAAGGAAATGAAGTAAATTCTTGCCTGATCCATTCACTGCCCAGCTAAAGAGAATTCTCTATTTTGAGCCAATCAGACAGAAATGGGACCCAGGAGAGTGGTGCATTAATTAGCGAGGCGGTGATGACTGGCAGACCCATTCTGGTATGTAACAGAGGAAGCCTTTGCCAAACAAAGAGAAACGTGGGCAAGAGCAGACCCAAAGACAGTCCTATCCTTGTGGCCTTGTTGAGTTTTGTTTTGTTTTTCATATACCACTGTGGGCCCACGATAAGAGTAACATTGGCCAACAGTCTTCTATTATCAGTAGGAGATACTGTGTTGGAGGAAACCCTTGACAGGTCTCACACCACCTTAACTGGACTGCTTAACCAAAAATATTTGGCTGCACCAAACAACACATGCCTTCCCCAAAAGCACACAACCTGGCTACTCAACTGATCTTTCATTTCAAAGGCTCATTCAGTGGGATTAACTGCATTTTCAAAATTCCTTTCAAAATCATGGAGCAATGTCAATATTGTAAGAAAGGTTTTCCCCATTCTCCAAGGTCATCTTTCTGTCTATGGTTACTCTCCAGCCAACTTATCTTCCTGCTGTTGCCATAGATAAAACTATTTTTAGAGCATGACTGGTTTGGAGGCAGATTTTTTAAAAAATCTCCCATCCCCTGGTGGTTGGCATCCCTAAATGCCTCTTGGGGATTTGTTTATCAGCTGACAGAAATTACTCTCCCACCTGTTGTTGTTGTTTTTCTTTTTGTCTTGAGAGAGGATTTCAGATAAGGAGGAAGTATAAATTGTAGGTGGCAGCCACTGCATGAAGGATAGCTGGTGACAGTCTGGTCTGGCCACACCACCCTTGGCCTCTGACTCAGAGAAGTCCCTGCTCTGTGTCAGCTGTCACCGCCATTTTTGGTTGGCTTGACTATCCACGCTGACACAGCCTGGTTCCCCTGCGGCCCCTAATTTGGTAAGCAACTTGGACAAAACAGAAATGCTATTTTAATGGCCAACATTATTGTTCCAGACCATCACTTGTCCGACATCAGAAAGGAAATACGGAACAATACAGAGTTTACGGAAAAACTTTCAACTTTAGGAACACGTTTCATGATTATTTGTTCTGTCTACAATTTTATTTTCAAGATGTCTTGCTCCTGTTTTTCCAAAAAAGAAGTGTAAAAAGAAGTAAGTCCAATATGCCACTGTTACACTGTATTTGTCAAGAGTTCCATTTAGAAGAATGGTATTTCTGCCTTTCAGTATCCCAATGGCAAAGGCCCTGCGAACTCCTCCTCATCCTGCAAGACTAAACTCAAATGCCTCTTGCAGAGGGAGGCCTTCCTCAGATGCTTCAGAAGAACCTGTCCTTGTAGCTTCCACTCAACTCTGTTAACACCCTACCCCACTGTAGCAGCCATCACATTGTATGACGGTGAGGTGTGACAAAGTCTGCCTCCCCGGGGAGAATGAACCCAACGCTTAGCCCTGCAGGACACAGGAGGAAATCTATAAATGTTGTTTGCTCAGTCAGTCAATCAATCAATCAAATGATCAGAGCCTCCCACCACACCCCCCCCACACACACACAGTACTTGTGACATTTGCAAATCATGAGTAGAGTGGAAAATCATAAAGGGGATCCTAGAACCTTTAGATATCTTCTCAAAACAAGTACTCATGTGCTCAGAACAGCCCTCCATGGTTTGATGCAGAATCCTGACCCTTTCCCTCCAAAGTATTTAGGTTGTCTTATTCAAAAGGCGGGGCCTTCTCAATAGTGTGTCCACTGCTCCAGACACCAGAACACATGTAACTAAAGAAATACTCGAAAGCAAATATTTGAGAAAATATCATCAGAAAAATTATATTGTATATGATCCACATTTGCATCCACCCACAATATCACTCTAGCTGCTCCGTTCAGGTCCCATCTCTGGAAGAAGAATTAGACAATGCACTTTGTGGTATCTGGTTCACACATGACCGTCCAGGCTCAGGGCTACCTCTGCAGTGACTTCATTCTTTCTCAGTCGTAACTGTGTCCCAACTGTGAAGAATTTCCACAGAAAAAGGCAAATTCCCATCTTGGATAAGGTTGGGATCATGGTTGGAAGCTCACTTGGACTGAATGGAGATCTTGCTTTATGAAGCTAATGATTGAACAACCAGAATTCTGTCAATCCTAAATGTTTGATGTGTACACACACACAGGTGCACACACACCACAGAACCCATCACTTGGCCCATACCCAAAGGTAACAATACGCCTTTCTTCTAGAGCTAAAGAAAGACAGAACACAAGGCAACTGCTAGTCACTTGGCTGAGGTATATAAAAAGCAAATATGACTGTTTACAACACTTGAACACAACTAGAATATCAAAGGGGGCCTTACTGGGACTTAAATACCTGTTTAGCAAAACCCTGGGGAAACACATTAGAGATGCCTCAACCACAGAAAAGAGGCACCAAATCGTAAGTACTGAAAATCACAATGAATAATAGATGAACTGAAAAGTTCAAAACAAGGCCCTCCGTGGCAGTGTGCCCTGAGGTGCTGATCTTGGAAGAGACACGGAATGGGAAAGACACAGCCTGCATGTGCCTAGCATGTTTTCCCCAGAACACCTGGAGAGGGAGAAGAGATCTTTTCAAAAAAAAGATCGTAGAGAAACAGAGCACTTCCAAAGGGCAACCGTCCTGGAGCAGGTGCCCAAGGCTGACAGAACTGCTTCTGCTGCCACTGTGCCAATATTTAAATCAGAAAGAAGAAAGTTTGCATAAACCCAAGTCTCGTGCAACTGGGCTCCCGCTGCTGACCCCACTTTGTCAGGTGAAGCCTCCCCTGGCTAAGCCCACTCCAGTCGCAAGCAGTGTTATGCTGTCACCAGTGGGAACAAGGGACGCTTTTCCTTAATCGCTGGAAGGAGGAAAGTTTGTCTGTTAAGACCATTCTTTACCTTTGAATCTCAACGTAAAGATACTGCATAAAAGTCTCCCTTCTTTTTCTTCTTCTTTTTTTTTTTTTAAACTGGTGCCAATAAACTTCTCTTGACACAGGAGTCAGGAAGGAGAGGAAATCTCTGGGAATTCCAGAAAGTCGGCTAAGCCCTGGGGCGCGCCAGGGGCGTCACAAGCAGCGTCAGGGCCAGATCTGGCCTTGGGTCGGAAAGTTGGGGCCACGGTGGGGCGTCAGGGCCAGGGACCGTCTCTCCCCATCCTCATCCTCAGACCCGTACTGGCCGGCAGCAGGGACTCTGCAGGCTCCCGTCCCCAGGTACTCACCCTCCTGCTGGGTGCTGCAGGCGTCTTGTTGCCGCCGCCCGAGAGCAGGGTGACCGTGGACGTGGAGCGCAGCATCTCACAGCGCCGGTTGGTGCGGATCCGAGCGGCCCTGCTCCCAACGGAATATGCGCTCAGGGACAGCCTGCGCGGTGGCGCCGCGGGCCAGTAGCCACTGTGGCTGCGGCGAGGAGGGCGGGGCGGGGGCGGGAACGAGAAGGACTCGGAGGGAGGGGCAGGTCCGGGCCCGGGGGAGGAGCCACGGGAGGGGCGCAAAAAAAACGCGAGCCGGACACGTGGGTCTGTACTTTCTCGCGAAGGGGCAGACCGGCCAAAGTTGCATGCTATTCTCCCACTACGGCGATGCGTGTCCTCGCAGGGTCCATCGCGTGGCGGGAAGTTGCCCTGGACCTCCAGGCTCTCTGCTGTCTACGGTGTCAAGGTGCACCTGTCCGTTCATCTCCACTAGGCTCTGGCCACCGACTCCCTCCCTGGCTGCCCCAGGAGGCTCTGCCACATCCTGGCGGTCAGTGGGACCCTCACCCCAAATCATTCATTCAGTGTTTACGGAATGGCTACCTCCCAGCAGCCGACAATCAACTGTCCTCTGTCTTCATGGAATTTGCAGCCTGCTGGAGGCACAGAGGTGACAGGGGCTGGTAATTTGGTGGAAGAGGAGGTGCAATTTCTATGGGAGCAGTCAACCTGGCCTTAAGGAGGTGGCCTGTGCATGAAAAATCCCCCAAGACGAGGTGATGACAGAGGTAAGACCTGAAATACAAGTAGGAGCATGACAGACATAGAGGTTCACCACAACCGCTCCTGTTTAGCATTCGGTGATTACAGTGGGCAGGGCTGGCAAGCACTCAGCAGGCATTACCTCATTTAATCCTCACAGCCAGTCTTTGAGGTAGGCACTATTGTTACCCTGTATCCCCATTTTGCAGGTGAGAACATTGACTCACCAAGAGATTGAGTAACACAGCAGGGGACTCACTGGCTGGTAAATGACAAAGCTGGGATGGACTCCACAGTCTGACCCTAGTGCCTTGCTTGTCCACTATGCTGCCCCTCTAGCAGAGGGGAGAAGACTTTCAGGTCAAAAGAATTGACACGTGCAAAGATGGGTGGAAGGCAAGAGAAGGTGTGCTATATTTTTGAGGAACTGAAAATACCCCAGGGCAAGGGGCTCATGGGAGAGGAGCAGTGGAAGGGAGTCCAGACAGATCATGAAGAATTTTGGTGTTTTTCTGCAGGGAAAGACAATCTCTCTCTCTCTCTCTACTCACCCTTCAAAGCCCAGATCAAACACTGCCTCCCCACTGAGCTCTTCAGGACTCTCCTGCCCTCTGCACCCACATTCATGAACTTAGCAGCTCTTTGGGACTGTATATTCTGTTAGAGTCACCTGTGTTGTGTGTGTATGTGTCCCCTTCCCCAGTGGGGAGCTGCTGGACCATTCTGAACCACCAGTGTGGCACCAATATGGAAGATGCTCAAGAAATGGTGCTGGACAGAAATTTGCTCCTTCTGCTGATAAGGAGGTGAGGACGTCATCATCGCTGCTGCTGGGCCTGCATTCTGAGTGCTGTATATGCATTTTCTCACCAAATTCTCACCATGGCCCAACAAGGTGGATAATGTTGTCATCCCCATTTCCAAATGAAGAAACTGAGGCCCAGGGACATTCGGTTAATTGGTAAATAGCTGGGACTAGCCCTCGAGTCTTCTAACTCCAGGTCTACTGCATCCTCCCATCCACCCATTCTTGTGAAGAGCGATCATTCATGAGAGTTGTCTTCCCATTGTATTTCCATGTAGCTCTTACTCTTGGGAGAGTTTTGTAAGGCTAAAATCTGGGTCTGCTTTCAATAAAAAGTGGTAAAAATGTGGCTGATGAAAGCCAACATGGTTTAGTCTGCATGGCTACCTCATCAAAAATTTTTTTTAAAAAAGGGCTAATGATTATTGTTGTTTTGCTATGTTGCCCTGAGAAGGAAGGAAATGGGCTGCAGTTAAGATGGAATCAAAATAACATGGCATCATCCATGTTTGTGTACATTTTGGCAACCACCCAAGTGACCACCCAAGACAGGGTCAGCTTTCGAGGGGAAGCGTGGCCCATTGATTGATTTTTTCCTCCATCTACACACATCTTTTTCATATTGTTAATATGATACTTTTTCCAGTGTGTTATGGTTCATTACAAAAGCAGCAGACTGCACACCTTGCTGTGAGCTCTTTGTGGAAACTGGATATAGTTTACATATCTTCTTGCCTAGTACTCAGAACAGTAATTGGCATGTTGTAAGTCCACAGTAAATATTCAATGAGTGAATAAATGATGTTACAGACCCATATTTCAACTCACCTATAGTCAAACAGTACAGAAACCAAGATCCTTCCCAACCCAGCTTCTAAGTTAGGTGAGGGTCTCCAAGCAGTTTGCCAGGGGAAGAAGCCAAAGCCCCAGGATGGTCCTAGCCAGGAAAGATCCACATACTGGCTGTCACTAAGGGCTGTGGGTGGTGGGATTGGGCAGATGCCAGCTCTGGTTTATGCCACAGCCCCTCTTTGCCAGACCAACACATAAGGAACTACATGAGAGAAGACAATGGGGAGCCCGGAAAGTAGAAGAAGAGGGGAAGGAAGGAAAATGGAAAGACAAGTAGGGATTAAGAAAATGGAAAGGTGGATCTAGAATGAAAATGAAAAGTCAAAAATGAAGTCATAGTCACAGGTTTCTATGAACAGTTCCTGTAGACAATAAAAAGGAAAAATGGACTCTTTTTGAAAGAGGAATCAAAGACTGAGCACTTCTGCCCAGGCCAGAAGGACTCCTGGGTCTACAGAACTGAGACTCAGAAGGTGCAGACATGACAGGGACAGAGCTCTGGTGCGGACGTAACCCTGTTCCCCTTCCACGTTGCCCCAGTCCGCTCCGGGCCCTCACCAAGCACAGGTGATGGAGAATTGCCATTTGCGGGGCTGGAGAGCACAGGAGCTATAACAGAACTATCTTAGCTGCCGTTCTTTTGCATCCATAGTGAAGGCCACATATTCCTAAGAACTATCCTAAATCTCTTGGCTAAAGCAGAGGTCTGTGGAAAATTCTAGATGCCTGTATAAACACCCTTTATTTTCTTTAACTCAGTCTCTAAATTGTACCTCCTTCTCCCTTCCTACTTCTAGATTTCTTTCTCGTATCCTTCCACCCTCTCCCTTCAGAATTGTCCTTGTTTTCTCTGCTGAACCCTCTGCAAATTCTTTATTGGCACCTTTAGTTGAGGTGCTTATCATGGGACCCAATTCTCCAGCAAAGTCCTAAGCAGCAAGGAGTATCATTATTTCTTGGCAGAAACAACCAGGAATTGAATCTCTGGACAAGAACCTAGAGTAGATGAGCCCAAGCAACGCCAGGCTTCCTGTTATTTTGTGCCCCGTTTACTCTTACATTTCTGAGGCTTCCCTGTTCTTCCTCTTCCATTCAGTTGGTCCTGGCATATTCTCCTGTTCTGAATGTCAAATAGAGACCAAACTTTCACAGTAAAAAAAAAAAAAAAAAGACACATTTCCAACCCAAGGACAAGGATATTGAATTACAAAGCCTCTTTAGATAAAGTAGAACAAGAAACACCCCATATTCACAGAGTGTCTGAGAAGCAGAGAACAGGGCCTAGAGATAAGGAAAACAGGCTGAGAGGAACCCTGTACCCTGGCCAAGTCACCCAGATTCACAGCATTTATAAACCTGTCTAGACACCAGGCCTTGAACCTGCTGCTGGCCCACTCTGGGGAATACAAGCTCATTGAAAATAACACTGCACTCACCAGTTAACCCATAAATAAATGAACCACCGGCAGAGTAATAAGAAGCCAATTTATTGAACAAATATATACCAGGCGCCTACTGTGCGCCAGGCACTGGAGACATGAAAGTGAGTAATACAGTCCTTGCTTTTTAAGAGTTCACAATCAATTTGGGAAGAGAGACGTGTACTTAGTAAAATAATAGCTAACACTTATACAGTACTTACTTTGTGCAAGCGGCTGAAAATACAACAACTCAGTGAATCTTACCAGCAAATCAGTGAGGAAGATGCCATTATATCTTCTATTTTGCACATGAGAAAATCACATCTCAGGGAAATGAAGTGACTTGACTATGATTCCAATACTAGTAAGTGGTGAAGTTAAGTTTCAGTCCCAAGCAAGATAGCTCCAGGGTCTGTGGACTTGACTTTTCACCTCCTGTCCTGGGTTAGCCACAGACTTGAAGCACCTCCAAAGCGCTATGGTGGACGCAGGAGGAGGGAACCCAAGCTGCTGCAGCAGCAGAGAACAGGAAAGGCTTCTGGGCAAAGGCAGCATGGCAGCTGGCCCTGGAAAATGAGAGAAGGTCAGGGCACTTAGTGGGTGAGGAGGTCGCAAGAAACAGTGACATCAGAGGGTCTGGGAAATGTGTGTTAGCAAGTTAGTTTGAACTTTAGGGCAGGAGGGAACGGTCAGAGACAAAACGGGCTGGAATAAAATTTCAAAAGGCCTTGAATAAAGTTGAGAATCAATCTGATAGGTAGCTATTGAAGGCTTGCAACCAGGGTAGTGACAAGGTCAAGGAGCAGGGGAAAGAGTAGAGGTGCAAGGCAGAGACTGAAGGGCAAGTACAGTCGACCTCTGAATAACGTGGATGTCGGGGGCTGCCTACCCACCCCCCTTGCACAATCAAAAATCTGCATGTAACTTTTGAATCCCTTAAAACCTAACCAATAGCCTGCTGTTGACAGGAAACCTTACCAATACCATAAACAGTTGATTAACACATTTTCTATGTTATATATATATCATATACTGTATTCTTACAGTAATGTAAGCTACAATAAAAATGTTTTAAAAAATCATAATGAAGAGATAATACATTTACAGTAGTTTTTTTAAAAAAATCCATGTGTAAGTGGACCCTTGCAGTTCAAACTCATGTTCCTCAAGGGTCACATGTATTTTGGCTTCTGTGGAAATAGTATTAATACGAGGTAAAGAGGCTCTGAACTAGGGCACTCAGAGGAGACAGATGCAAGAGGCAGAAAAAGAACAGAACTTAGTAACCAACCAAAAACTGGAGGACTTTTGTGAATTGTAAGTCACTCTAGTGAGTAGTTATCTAATTTCTCTATAGATCCTGAGG